GAGTTTCTTAAACAAGGTCTGACCTTGGCAGTCACCTGGCAGAATCTTCCAGGGTGCTCATTGCCTACAAGCTAGAGCCCAGACTCTGCATGGTGCCTGAGGCCTTTCGCAATTTGGACCCAGTCTACTTCCATTAATGACACTAATGGCTAAGACTGAGCAAGTGTTTCATATGACCCAGGCACTATATACTGAGGGCTTTATGTGCATTGTCACATTCAGTTCTCACCTAAGCATAGGAGACAATGTCTTCACTCAGTCTCCTCATCTTTAAAATGGGGATATTCCAAGAAAATGAGTATAGTGTCTGGTGCACAGTTACCATTCAATTAACAGTAGTCAATACTGCATCATCTTTACCTTACAGATGATGAGAAAGTTGAGGTTAAGGAGGTTAAGTAACTTGCCCAAGGCCATAACTCATTAATAAGGGCCAATAAGGGAGTCTGGCTTCAGTGCCCAAGCTAGCCCGCCTTTCACCCTGTCAGTGAAGGCCTGTGATCAACTCAGAGCCAACTTCTCCAGCTCCCCTTGGTGAGGCCTCCAGGTCTTTGCACCCATGGGTCCCTTTGCTGTTAGAATGGTTCTCTTCCTCCTCCTCCTGGAAGGCTTCCTCCCAGAGCCCCCTATCCCCAAGAATGCCCAAGGCAGGGACACACCCCCCAACTCTGTGCCCCTCACCCTTCTCAACAGACCCCTCCACTCTCATCTCACCAAACTATCACTGAGACATATGACACGCCCCCACTCAGAGCGATGGCATTCTTGTCACCTCTGGCTCTGCTGTGCCTGTCTGGCACAGAGAAAATCTCTGTGAGTGTTTGTTGGATTCGTTGGGAGTTGAATCCATCAGAGAGCTGAGCCAAGAATGGAGAACAATACCTGCTGCCAGGGACCGCCTGCCTGCTCTCAGCTGTCAGTGTGCACTCCAAGTGAACACACGCAAACACCTTCCCTTGGCCATGGCCTCCTTATCACTTGCTGGGACTTCTAGTCCCTTGGCCCTGGCTCTCCCTTTGCTTTCCTGTCTCTCCCCAAAGTTGGCCAGCAGGGGGTTCACCCCTAGTGGGGCCGGGACCATCCACAGCATGAGTCCAGAAGATTTCTCACTTCCTCAGTTCATTTATTCAACATGTATTTATTGAACACTAACTATGAGCCACACCGCAGGCTTGGTGCTGGGTCCAGAGTGGAGAGCAAACCAGGCAGGTCCCTGGCCTCAGGAGCTTAGATTCTAGTGGGGGGACAGTCAACCAACAAGGAAACACACAAATGGATGAGCAGTGGCAAACCCCCATGAAGGGAAGGAACAGGGGCCTGGAGATAGACAAAATATTCAAGGACAGTAGTCAGGGAAGTCCTCTCTGAGGAGGCAACACTTAAGCCAAGGCCTGAGCGTCTGAAGAACTCAGCCATGCAAAGGGTAGGGGAAGAGTATTCTGGGCAAAGGGAACAGCATATGCAAAGTCCTGGAGGTGGGAATGAGGGTGGAATGTCGAGGACGTGAAGGTGGCAGAAGCACAGGGAGCGAGTTTGGGACTGGCCAAGAAATGAGGCTGGAAGTGAGGTTGGGACCAAAAGAGGAAGTGCTTGGATTTTATCTTTCAAATAACAGGGTAACAGAGTGAGGGTTTTAAATCAGAGTTGACAGGATATGATCAGCGGGTTTCAAGGTCTCTCTGGTGCTAATAACTGATTGACAAAGCAAGAGAGAACTTTTGGAGGCCAGGGCAGAGATCTGGGGCAGGGGATGTGGTCAGACCAGGGTAGCTACGGGTTCAGACAGAACTGGGTGAACTCCAGAGACGTTTAAGAACTAGAATGAATCAGAGGTTTCCAGAAGAACTAAACAAATCTTTATTGGATGTCTGCAACTACCCACAACGGGATGGGAGTCGGGGGTACCAGTGAGGCTTAGGGATAGAAACAGAAGATGCAAGTCCTTGCCCATGGAAACAAATACACAGTCGCGTTTCCCCCACAGTCTCTTGGGGACAATGAACCCAAGATCAATTAAGATGCTGGAAGAGCTGGGCCATTCCCATTCATTTCAATGGTGTCAACAGATTCTTTCCGAGTTGGGTACTTGCAGCATGGAAGTGTTTCCCACAGCCCCACTGGGAGTAAACGTTGGATTCTCGGGCTAGGAAGCTGCCACATTGCAGGACTACAGCACTGCCCTGGTACCCCGGGAGCAGTGGGAGAGGAGGAGGAGGAGCAGCTCTTCTTCCTGTCCTGAGTGGCCCCCTTCATTAGAAAGGTGAGGCTGATCTTTGTCTCTGTCACCTCCTCTGTCCCCCTGCCCCCACTTCCAGGAGCCTGTGTGAATCACCTCCCCTGTCCCCCTGTCCCCACTCCTGGAAGCCCGCGTGACCGTCCTGCTCTTCCTCTCCCTCAGGAGCACTCCTGCCAGCGACCCATTCTCTGAAATGACACCCTCTCTCCTCACTGCCCCACAGCTCTGACGGGTCTGGGAGGACAGCAATCTGATCGAACTGGCTCACGCTGAAAATGAAAGGAGTACTTACCTCTCGATCCCTCCTCGAGGAGTCTGCATTTTCAAAAGAGCTTTCTGGGTCACCCAAATGATCTCTGCCCTCTTAACCACTTTTCTGAAAGGGCCCTTTATCCCCAGGGTTTCTACAAACTCTACTTTTGAGCCCATGGAGTCTCCTCTGGGGAGGGTGGGTCCCATCAAAGGGAGGGGGTGGGAGAATCTTCCCAGGGCTGACATCTGCAGCGTTTAATAACCAGCGAGGAACGAGCACCAGTGAATTGCCAGCTCGAGCACCCCACAGCCTTGGATCTGTCAGGCATTAACCAGATGCTGGGGGTCCTCAGGGAAATGTGGGTGGCAGGGGGCACTCGGAGTCCCTCAGGGGGAGCAGATATTTACCAACGAGCAAAGAAGTGTTTCTGCGTTCTGTCAACTGTATGCAACACTGGTCCCACTGGCTGTCAGTTCAGGCTCTGCTAGTCTGCTGGGAATGGTCGCTGGGCCATTGGTTCCCTCCTATTAGAGGAAAGCGGCCTGGGGTGGAGCTGGGTAATGAAATGGCCCCTGAGCAGCGCCAGCTGTGTGGAACCCCGGTGAACACGGTCTCAGGCCCTCGACCCCCTGCGTGACCTTGAAGGGCTGAGCCGCCTCAAACTGTCCTTCCTCTTGCCCCTCCTCGCAGCTATTTTTGTGCAGCCTGACAGCCCCTGGCTGTTTGAGCAGTCTGGCTCTGGGAGCTGGATGCAAACCAGGCAGCACAGACGTCTGGTGCCGAATCCCAGGAGGATTTCTCTCTGGGCGCCACTGCATGGCCACGGCCCCTCCAAACTGTGCACCCAGCCAGGAGGGACCAGACGCCTGGAGCACGGTGACTGCGAGAGGCAGGGAGCTGGGTGCTCCATTGCTCAACCCTGGCTCCGGGCTGTGAGAGCTGTCGAGGCCTGGTGTCAGGACACTCTGTCACAGAGTTTTGCTGCTGCCTGGAAACTTCCCAGCCAGGCTTGTCCAGCCAGCTGTGTGCAGGGACCTGTTAGTCAGCCGTGGGGAGGGGGGTCTGGGAAAAGGGTGTGAGCAGGCCCCACTCTGCCCACAATCTCCAGGCCCTGCCGTAGTGGAGAAAGAGTCTGTCGTGTGGTTCAATGCGATGGGGTGGGCCAAAGACGGGGGCAGGGCAGACAGGGTCCCCAGGAGACCTCTTCGTGGCCCCTGCTCCAGGAAGTGAGGCAGACACTGTTCCACCCCCTCAGGCTGGGAAGGCTGCAGCCAGTCAGGCATTGCTCCTAATTGGGGTCAAACCCCTCCAGGGAAGCAGCCTGCCTCAGGCCCTGGTATCCCTTAGGTTAAAGCTTCGTTCCCAGACCCAAGATTCATGCCTGCTGTCCCCCGTGTCTTGGGCAGGAGAGGGGTCCAGGCACAGCTCCAGGACTCATCTGTGCAGGTGAGAGATGGGACCAAGTCTTTGAGATCAGAACATGTTCAGGAGAGCTGTGTGGACGAGCTGGGTGAGCGGTGAGGAGGAGAGAAGGCCGGAGGACGAGGGGGCCTCTGGTGGCTGGTGCAGGTGCCTTCGCATATGAGTCAGTCCACGAGCAAAGTAGAAAAGGCAGTGCCACTTTTAGAGCTCCTGGAAAAAGAACCTTCCTCACTCCTAGGGGTGGGGGTGGGGGCCAGCTCAGAAAGCCCCAATTTCAGTGATTTCGGAGACCCAGGAGTGGTAGAGCATGGCCCCTGCCGGCCTCCCAGCTGGCCCTGGGGAGGATGGGCTGGCGGCAGGAACAGCCACATAAGCAGCGGACCCTACAGCACCAGGGGGTGAGGGGGAGGAAGACTGCAGGAGGGGAGCGATGTGGCTGCTCCTGGCAGCCCTGTTACTGGGGGCCACGGGCACAGGGGCAGCTGGCCTCTCTGGGGGGCGGGCCCTCCGGGTGGAACATGCTCCTCGACTGGGCAGCAAATTCCTCCGGGGTGGCAGGATGGTGCCAGTGGCCCTGCGAATGGGAGTGGATCGGAGGGCTGGGATGGGGTAAGTGGGAGAGGAGGCGCCAGGGAGGACAGGGCCGGGCACTCTTCCCAGGATGGCGAGCTGGCTGCTCAGGGCTGGCAGCCCCGGACAGCTATGGAAGAAAGACCAGGGCCAGGCGGGGAAGGCCAGGGGGCCGGTGGGTGTGGGCGAAGGCTCCATCTCAGCTGCATAGCTGTTGAGGTGGGAGAGAAGGCGAATCCGGACGGGGTCCGCACGGCTGCTGGGCCCTTCCAGGACCCCCAGGTACCTGATGACCTCGGTGAGGCACTCCCGAAAACCAATGCTCCGGAAGTCAACCGCCAGGGCTCGGGCATCAAAGAATCCTGCAAAGGAAGGCACGATGAGGACATGGCAGGTGCAGGGAGAAGCATGGAGCCCAGGGCCAGACTGTGTGAGTTTTGGACCTGCACCTCCCACTCACTCCTTGGGTGACCCTGGCCATATCATCTAGCTTCTCCGAGCCCCATGTCCCCATCGGCAAAGTGGGAATAAAAATCCCTACCTGGGATGGAGGATGGTGGGCTGTGAGGATCAAAAGAGTTCACTAAACTATGAAGCATTATAAAATGTAAAATATGGTTTTATCACAAGTCATGATTAATACAAAGAAGAAACTCTGTGGCCAAGATAACTTCATTTGGGCAGACATTTGCCAGGCATGAAAGGGCCATGCACATGGAGGTATAAAAGAACCCGGCCTGCCAACAGGGACAGATGTCGGGTGGAGACATGGTGGCAGCAGCCATCAGAGCTGGGAGGCCCCTTGGAGGTGGCATAGTGTAGCAGTGAGGCAGGAGGTCTTTGGAGGCCAGCAGAACTGGATTCAAATCCCCTCTGCCACCTAACTATGGATGGAGAAGTCTCCTCATCTCTCTATGCCTCAATTTCCTTACCTGTAAAATGGGGATATGACAATACCTGCCGCATGGAGTCGTGGGGGTGAAATTAAACACAACAGTGCATAGAAAATGCTCAATAAATGAAACGTTAGCTATCACTTAAACTAGTGGTTTGGTGCCTGTTAGCGTCTGAGTTTGTCCCCCAGCTCAAAAGGCAATCCGGAAAGCAGGACCTCACTCTGGTCCTCAGCTGCTGCCATCAGGTCAGGGACCCTCTCTTTGAGGAACAATGAGGAATTTACAAGGAATACCCACACAGGTATCATACCCTGCCTCTCCATACCTGTTCCTCTCTCGACCAACTACTGGGCAAAAAAGACAGAACTCCAGCCAGCACTGGCCTCGTGACTATGGCAGCAAATATCTGGTCCTTGGTTCATGGCTGAGGACCCCACAGAGGGACAGCTGGGCCAGAGACTATGTTTGGAGTCAGGCCAACTTGCAGGTGACCTGGTTCTGCTGTATACTTAGCCATGTGAATTCGAGCAAATTCCTTCACCTTTCTGTGTTTGCTATTCTTTTCTAACTAACATTTGCTGAGTTCTTACTAAGCACTTAATTGCATTATCTAATTTAATGCCCATAAAAACCCTCTTTTTATTCCCACCTTAGAGATGAGGAAACTGAGGAATCCAGAGGTTAAATCATTTGCCAAGGTCATAAGCTAGTAAGTATTACAGTAGTGCCAGGATTCAAATCCACAGCCTGCACCGTAAACCATAGTTCTGTCTTCCCATTAACGCTTAGCCAGAAAATGGTGATGGCAACCACCCTACCTTCCAGGTTCTTGCAACAATCAAATGAAATAGCATAAGTGTAAGCATTTTGAGAACTACAAAATGCTGCCTACATATTAGTTACTATTTTCTTTTAATCTGATAACCATAAATGTAATTCGAATCTCCCTCACTGGTTCATTAGAGAAAGAAGTCTCCACTGTTAGCAGTGCATTCCTTGGCAGAAGTTCCCAAAGGGACCACCTGCATCAGGTTGGATGGGCTTGTTAAACTTGCAAACTACTAAACTTCAATCTAGACTTACTGCCTTAGGATCTCAGGGAGAGGGAGTGACCCATGACTGTGCCTGCACCCAGATGATACTACTGCACATGGAGGCTTGAGAAGCATCAGGTTGGGCCACTTAAAATGCGATTGTCCTCTTCTGAAGTATTAAGTTAGGTCTTTGGGACTTAGGTCTTTGTGGCCAAGGGCTGTGGAGCTTTCAAGGTTTGCCAGTTGTGAAATCACTAAACACACAGAAAAGCTTTGTGTAGACAAAATTTCCATTTGTCTGGAAGTCTTTTTAAAGTCACAGTTCTAACACTTTATTGTAATGCCCTAGCTTAAAATAACGGAATGAGTTACATTTGCATTCTGTGCAACTATCCTGAGACCTGCTGTGAGTGTGACTTATCACCCCAGCACTGCCAAGGACACAGCAACAGCCCAGAAGGCTAGACCAGTGGGTGGGGATACCAGGCCCCTCCCTGGGTTCAGGTGGGTCACAGACTGGGGTTCAGTGAGAACCAGCTCATTCAGGTGAATCCTTAACAAGGCCAGGGATAGGACCAGTAAGAAAGGCCTGTTACAGAAGAAAGCCCTGCAATGTTGGAGACAGGAAGCAGCTGAGTGGAGGAAGGGTCGGGATGGATGGAGACAGCGGAAGTGGAGAGGAAGATGCTGGAAGAAGAAGAGATGAGCTTTGCAAATGTGCCAGCTGAGTCTGCTTCAGCCCCTGGACAGACTGCGCTCCGTGAGGGCAGGGACCATGCCTACTTCTCTCACCAGCGTACCGCCCCTCCACCGCCCCAGGCCCAGCCCCTAAATATTTGTCGTATGAAAGACTCCTGAGAGAGAAGAGCGGCGGTACCTGTCCCACCAGTGGCATGCAGCATTTTCAAGTGATCCACCGTCATCTGCAACACCTCGGCTTTCTCCAGCTTGGAAGAGCCCTGTGGGTACAGAAGACAGAGGAGTGAAGCCTCCAGTTGAGTCCTGTCACTGGACCTTCTCGATTTTCTCACCTTCCTCCCACTCTGCCACTGCCTGCGACTGGGCTTCTGCTTTGGCCAAGATCTCCAAATCTAGAAGACTCTTTAACTGTCAGTTCTCCTCTCAGTCCACTTGTCTACTGTACTGCTGCTGACCATGCTTCCCGAAACCTCTCCTCCTGTCACCTCCATGACACTACTTTTTCTGGGTTCTCCTTCCACCTTGCCCCTTGCTCTGCCTGTCCCTTAATATGGTGATGTCCCCAGTGCGTGCTAGCTCACTTCTCTTCTCGCTCTGCTGCTCTCCCCAGAGGGCCTGGTCTACATCCAAGGCTACCACCATCACCAGAATGCCACACATGCATACCCATCTGCCTCTCTGGGAAGGCCAGCTCTACTGGGAATCCAACCTTGGACCAAGCACACCCAAGACCTAGCTCAGCATCTCATCCCTAAAGCATCTGTTCTTCCTCTATTCCCCCCTCTTCGCAAGTGTTTCCTGAGCCTCCAGGATCACCTGAACTCCCAGGTGAAACTTGAGCATCACACTCTTCATGTGAGTCCCTGGAGGTCAGACCCAGGTCTAGTTCATGGCCGGTCCCGTGAAGGTTTGAGTGAACATCTGTGGAATGATGGACTTCTTCTCACCAGCACAAGGGAAGGCAGATGTCCTGTGACCTGTGCCTTGGCCCATAGGGTGAGAATCTTAGAGGCCATCTCCTTTAACTGTCTGACTCCCCACTGCGGTCCCCCAAGCCCAACATGTTCAACAACAGCATGCTCACTCCCTGAGTAGCCTGTTCCACTTTCTAATAGCTCTGGAAATGTCAGTAGTGCAGACGGATGGAGGCTTTAGAATCACACAGTCCTGCGCCCCAATTCCGCTCTGCTGGGTACCAGCTGTGCAATCCGGTATACATTACTTCACCTATCCGTGCTTCAGTTTCCTTACCTGTCAACAGGCATAATAATCCCCACCCTTCAGCATGATTTTGAGGAGTCAATTCAATGGGATGATGGGACATAAAACCACAACACCTGAGATGCTCCATTTCCATTCCCTTTATCCCCTGGCCAGTGACAGATAGTAAAGGACCATAGCACCTCAGACAGCCACTACCAATCGATAAGAGATGCCACAAGAAATGGACCTTATCTGCCACCCACACGGCATTTCCTCTAGCACAATCAGCAATGTCACGCACCTGTTTCTCAAAGGCAGTGGGGACCAAGCGCCGCAATTCAGAAAGGCTGCTGTTGATGCGGTCTCGGCGCCGTTTCTCTATGATCTAAAACACAATGACAAGAAGTTACACGCAGGCGCTTCACCACAGTTTCCAATGTGCCTTGATGCACATTGACTCTCATTCCCTCTCACACTATTTCTGTGAGGGAGATAAATCTATTCTCACTTTATGGAGGAGAAAACCAAGGCTCAGAGAAGGACTGGGATTTGCTTAAGCAGAGGTCACGCAGCAAGGAAGGCCAAGCTGGGAGTAGAACGCAGCTCCCTTGCTTTGGTCTGTAGGAGTGATACTCAGAATGTTAAAGCGCGGTGCAGCATGGCACAGACAATCAGAATGGGGACACCAGCCACAGTGCGGGAGCAGGCCCTGGAGGGCCCTATCTGGTACTCTCCCCGCACAATACTGGCAGCAGAACATGGGGAACAGGGCAGAAATTATGACCCCATTTTATGGATAAAGAAAATGAGAACTGGAAGGAAGTGGTTGTCTAGGGGTTTATGGTGAGTGACTGGCAGGCTGGTCTCTGCCAGACCCAGGTGTCTGGGCTCCCAGCGCAGAAGCCCAGCCGCACCGGGTTGGGTGGGGGGTTAGTGGGGCAGGGGACGATGGACAACAGCCGCCTTCTTCTGCTCCTCCCCCACTGGGCATTACTCAGAGGAGATGGAAGTTCTGGACTCACAGAGGAGGCAGAAGATAGGGCAGAGGGGGAGGATGGAACAACCCTAACCGCCTATTGTGTGTCAGCTATTGTTCAAAGCGCTACACTAATTCACTTAATCTGCAAAACAGCCTTTTAAGGGAGGCACTGTCATTATTCCAGTTACACAGATGAAGAAATGAGGCCCAGAGAGGTTAAGTGGCTTGCCCCAAGTCACCCTGGTAGCTACTGGCAGAGTCAGGATTTGAACCGGGACAGTTAGTTTCGGGGTGAAGTTTCTGACCAGGGCTCCCCCGGCCAGGCTGCAGGGGATTCAGGGCAACCCTTTGTTGGGCAGCTCAAAGGCTGAGGCGGGCACTCACCCCTCTGCGTTTCTTCCTAGCTTGCATCTGCGAAGGGCTGGGGGTGGACAGCGGCCTGGCCATCTGGCTGGAGAGGAAGAGAAAGGCTGGTTTTTCAGAGCCGGGGGAGCATCTCCCTGGCCTGGGCTGACCTCGGAGGCCGGGAAGAGCCGCAGGGTGGGCGTGGGAGGGGGCGCCCCGATGCTCCCCGGGGGCTCATTTCTCCCCGGGCCAAGCCCTCCCAATCCCTCCGAGCGGCCGCGGGCTTCTGGGCTCTTGGACCCGCCTGGCTCAGCCTCACCCCTCGCCCTTCGCCTCTCGCGGCGGCCGTCGGGGAACCGGGAACCACGAACCGCTCGGGCTCCTGCAACCCGATCCCCGGGGGCGGGGCGGGCGAGGGCACGGGCCGGCGGCGGCGGGGCCGGGCCGGGCGGGTTGGGTTTCAGAGGGAGCCGCTGGGAACGAGCGTGGAAAGAGCAGATGCCGCCGCTTCCCACGGGCCGGGCGCGCCGGCCGCCCGCCCTCGGCCCGGCCTGCAGCTGCCGCCTCCTCCCACGCGGCGCGGCCGGGGGCGAGAGGGAGGCGGCATCTGGGTCACAGGCCTCTCTCGGATGCTCGGGGACACTGCCCTGGCCTCCCAGAAGGCCCCGTCCCCCATAACCTCGGCCTCCCCTCCCATCCCGGGCCTTCCCTCTGCAGCCGGGCTGAATGATGGATGTTTGCTCACACCCCAGGAGCTCCCATTACAGAGAAGAGGCTCAGCCCCGGGGCTTTTCCTGTCCAGACTTTGACAAAAATAATCTCCAGCCCGACTGCTAACCCTCTTAACGTTTCTGCTCCAGAGGCTCTCTTAGAATGGCGAGGATTTGCCGAGACCCGCTGAGGTATCATTCATTTGGCCAACGCCTCTGCTTCTGTGTTGGGGCTGGTGCTGGGTACCCTGGGCCCGGCCCCAGACCTCCACACACAGCTCAGCTCCAGTGGGGAGACACTGCATGAGCAAACCACAGAGTGACCCCCCACCCCCGCCATTTCTGAAGGCAAAATGCCACACATCTGAGTAGGAACCCATGAGCTAGGCTCACCCCACATCTGCCCCTCCTCCCCCTGGTGTCCCCATTTGAGCTGAGGTGCCCCAGCTTCCAGATATGCAAGATGGAAACCTGATGCCCTCTTTGATTCCTCATCCTCCTCACCCCCACCTCATCAAAACATGCCCATTCCATGTCTAAAGTACATCTCATATTCATCCTCTGCATCTCCACCACCCCTCAGTGCCAAGTCACTGTCACCTTTTTTTTTTTTTTTTGAGACAGAGTCTCACTCTTTTGCCCGGGCTAGAGTGCCATGGCGTCAGCCTAGCTCACAGCAACCTCAAACTCCTGGGCTCAAGCGATCCTCCTGCCTCAGCCTCCCGAGTAGCTGGGACTACAGGCATGCGCCACCATGCCCGGCTAATTTTTTCTATATATGTATTTTTAGTTGTCCAGATAATTTCTTTCTATTTTTAGTAGAGACGGGGTCTCGCTCTTGCTCAGGCTGGTCTCGAACTCCTGACCTTGAGCGATCCACCCGCCTCAGCCTCCCAGAATGCTAGGATTACAGGCGTGAGCCACCGTGCCCAGCCTCACTGTCACCTTTTAACTGGACGACTGCAAGAGCCTATTGTTGGGTCCCTTTGCACCCTCTTTAACCCTTACAAGCCCATCTCCACGCTGCAGGCAGAGTGATCATTTAAAATGCAAATTTTATCTTGCAAAACTCTTCAGTGGCTCCCCAGTGCTTTTAGGATCAAGGCCACCATCCTTCAAGTGGCTCAACTGGCCCTTGTCACCTCCTAGACTCAACTCTCTTGCTTTGTATATGCCAGCCTATGCATGCACCAACTCTTTCCTGCAGTTGAACATACTGTCCCCTAGCCTAGAATTCTTTGGTCCACCCCATCTCCCTACCCCAAGCCCCAGCCCCTTTGCCCAGTAACTTCTACCATCCCCCAGATCTCAACTCAAACATCACTTCCCCAGGGAGTTTTTTCTGATATCTCCCATCCCACTGCTCGACACTCTCCTAGGATCCTGCATTCACAGCATTTAAACCAGTTTGCTGTTTTATATTTATATGGTTATTTGATTGATGTCTATCTCTCCAACAAATCCATAAGCTCCATGAAGCCACAAACCATGTCTGTTTCATTCACTACTTTAGCCCCTGTACTCAGCAAGTGTTTGGAACATGGCAGAACTCTTGGTGGAGCTTCCTTCTCCTGCCCTTGTCTTTGGCATCACTAAGGAACAGAGAAGGAAGCACCATAAAATCTCTATCCTAGGCCTTTGTGGAATGGGGGCATATGTAGCTTACCAGAAGGGTCCCAGCCCATGTGATTACCCTTGGCATTTGAGGTTGGATCATTTTCATGAACTGCTCAAAGACAGAAGGTTGCAGAAGAGACCAGACAGAATTTGTCAAATCCTACTGCTCTGCCCTGGCTTTGTCCAGCCACATATGGAAAATGATATCGCTCACCCAAATATCTGGACAAGCAGAACTATAATAGTTAGAAGCCTGTAATGGCTCCTAGGAGGGAGGGCCCCGGCAAGCGAGGTCCAGGGCTCAGATGGCCAGATCCTGAGATCTGTAAGGCAGCTTGTTTACAAAGCCTCCCTGGTTCACTGGGGACAAGCCCCAAGAGCCAAGGTACACTAAGAAACTCAGCCTTTGTTCCCCCCCAGCTGGATAAAGCATCTCTTGGGGTATTGGGTTAGCCTTGCACACGTCACTGCCTCTCAGCCTGATCCCTCCTCTGGGACCATCTGTTGGAGGCTGACGCACCCATTTCAGGGCAAGGCAGTTCTGCCATCCCTTTTTCCAGTGCCTGGTCAGTTTTTCTGTGACCTCCCCTCCCCTGTATCTCACAGGCAAATATCACTTCACAGTTTTCTTGGCACCACTGAGTATATTTCCCTCCTCTGAGCCTTACAAAAGCCCCATTTCACAGATGAAGATGCTGAACCTCAGGGAGCTAAAGCAACTTGCCCAGCCCACACAGCTGCTAAGGAGCGAAGTGAGCAGGGTATCCATGTCCTCTTGCTCCACATTCAGCATGTTTTCCCTTCTAATTCCTACTTCCTGTCTTTCTGAATAGCCCTCCAGTCCCCTTATCCTTAAAGCTCCCAAGAGCCCAGCCAGAGCTCCCTTCCAGCCTGTGATCTGGCCTTGACAGTGGGAGGAGGTGTGGGAGCTTCTCGTCTGGGAGTCTGAAAATAAGGCAGATTTTCATGGACCCAGAGAAGATATGTTGACCATCAACATCAAGATCTGCTCCATGGGCCTCTAGTGGCTCCTAGCCAGAAGTCCAGGGTGGTCTGGGGGTGGGTGGGGGGCTTTCCAGGTGGTCCTGACCACCCTCCATGCTGACTCCCCTTGGGAACCCCCTCCTGGAACCCTTGCAGTCAATCCCATTCCTTTTGCATCAACCCAAGGCAGACTCACAACGTCCCAAATGACGGGATCTCACTGAGCATATCTGTAAATGAGGAAACTCAAAGAGGAGAAGGGATCTTCCCCAGGCCACGTAGCAAATTAGAGGAAAATCCAGAACTAGAGCCAGGGCTACTGGCTCTTAACCCAGTGCTCTTGCTAGTACACACCACATGTTCATCATCCCACCATGGATATCTCAGAGCCAGTACTTTTTGTTCTAGACAGCACTTCCACATCCATTTGTCTCTCATTTATTGCACAACAGCCCTGTGAGTTAAGTATTATTTGGGCCATTTCCATTTAGGAAAAATAATCCTTATATAAGCGGAGTGACAGAGACACAAAGAGTTAAGAATCATGCCAGTAAGTCCAGTCTTCAGATTTCCAGCCCCTTCCTTAGACCACGCTGTCTCATGAGTATGGTGCTCCCAACTGAATGGTAACCCCTTTGACAGCAGCATTATACTGGAAGTTACCTTGTGCCAAAACAGGGAGCTATGTGTTTTACGTGTGTTATTTCATAAAAGCCTCCTCCTGTGAGGCAGGTATTAGCATTCTCATTTTGAAAGGGAGAAAACTGAGGCTCAGAAAGGGGTACAGTCACTTACCTTAGTTAATGGTGTTGAAATTCAAACTCAGGTCTATCTGACTTCAAAGGCCACCATATGCCTTAAATCACGTAGGAATGACCCATAGACCTTGATCCAGTGTCTGACATGTGACAGGTGCTCCTTAGATGTTTGCAGAGGGAGAGGGGAGGCTATATTCTCAGTTTGGACCCAGCAGGTGTCAGGGGACCAGGTTCAGATGGGAGCTCCGTTCAGATGTGGCAGAATACTACTGCCAGGCAGATGCCCACAGTGACGGTGGGACACACCCTGCTCTTTCCTCTTATGTCTCTGAGTGTGGGGGATTTGCCCCCTGCCTCTGACCCCAGGAGGCTGGCTGCCCCAGTCCTGTGGCCCTTGTCACTGTTTATCTGGCTGTCTTTGTACATGAAGCTCTTCTTCCCTGAGAGTTCCCTGAGGGCAGAGGCTGAGCAGGATACATCTGGGCCCCCTAAGCCCAGCCCAGGGTCTGGGCCACAGCAGGCATCGTTCAGCGCTCCCTGAATTGAAGCATTGATGTCTGCTGGGGGGAGGGCCCTTTGGTAAGTGCTACAAAGAGGCATCTATAAGTCAGCCCCTGCCAGATGTCCAACTGCTTTCTCTCCTCAGAGGGGGCTGCTCCTCTAAGAACTGTCTCTAAAAATGGGCTCTGTACATACAGAAAATGCTATCCATATAGGAAAAAAACTGTCCACTGACCCTTTATGCCTCCATTTGGGCAGTTGCCCAGATGCCATCACCTTCAAGAAGCCCTCCCTGTCATCTTTGGTTGTGAGTGACCTCTCTCCACTTAGATGCCCTCACAGCCCACAGTCTCTCTCTTTCCATCCTGTCCATGATCTTTGTGTGACCTGGCAGGTCACTGAACAGGCCATGAACTTGTGGAGGACAGAAGCCAGCTCTGATGAGCCTAGCTCTCTGGCATTAATTTTGTGCCCCTGATCTATGAAGACCCAATGACATTGAATTTGAGACACCAACACTGAATTCTCCAACACCATCACACGGTGGTGGGCTTTCCCCTTGCCCCTAGTGGGCAACAAGCTCAAAGAATTGCTTCTTTAAATAGCAGTTTCTGCTAAATAATTTAGAAAGACTGATATGGTGCCTAGGAATTATATTTTACACCCTAAAACCTAATGTACAGGGTGCAAGAGGCATATCTATTGCCCTACCCCTATTATGAATAATTGGCATTTGGTGGCATTTTTCTGGCCTTAGGAAACTGGAGAGCATTGAAATTATGAAATGCCCTCAAAAACATCCCTGAGAAGTAACTGAATTCCCCTCCAATTCTATTCTAGAGAGTCAGGTTTGGATGAACCGAGAGAGACGAGGTATCCCTCTCCTACTCCTGTCCTCCTTTATTTTACTGATGAGGAAACAGGCTAAGACAGGGAAACCAACGGCCACATGGTGAGTTGGCTGCAGATTTGGGGCTGGGACCCAGGCCTGCAGACTCCCATTCAGTCCCTGTAGCTCTTTCAGGGTGCTGGGTATCACATGAGGTGTGCCTGACACTAAGCATTCGCTAGGCATCAAGCCCTATACGTACATTATCTCAACTGATTTTCCCAATACTATTATTCATGCCCATTTTACAGATGAAAAAACTGAAGCTTAGAGAGTTCCCAGAGCTGGAAGGTAGCAGAACTATATAAGTGCAGTTGGTTCTACAGGTTCGAAGCAGGTCAGAATACCTCATAAGAGCTGAAAGGCACTGGCCGCAGAGGAGACACAACAGGAAGAGCACTGGAATTGGAGTCTAGGCCCTTGCAAGTCAGCTATTATTTTCTTCCATACCAACACCCTAATTCCAAAGTCCATTTGCTCAAAGGAGGAGAGATTTTCTTTTCCCTGAAACTTTTTGTGGACTACATGAAAACTGCACCAGAACTAGGGTAAAATTGGGAAAGTATGGTTATTCTGCGTAGTCAGCAGATTCCGGACAGGGGGTGTGGTACCAACAGCCTGTGAAGGTTTCCTTTTCAGGGAAAACTCCTCACCAATTTCCTACCCCCCCCCCCCGCACTTCAACAGAACCACGATCACCCACTGGCCGTCAGACCCCCCTCTTCCCCGCGAGCTGAACTCTGTCTCCACCTCAGCATCCCAAACCTTCAGTGGCTGAGAGCGCGCAGGACCCCAGGCACTGGCTCGGGTAACGGCACAGCCCGCACACGCCACACCTGCGGCCACCGCGCACACCTGCCTCCGCGGAGGCTGTACCTGCCGACCCGCACAGCCAGTGTGCCCGTCGGGGCGCTCCCCACCCCGTTCGCCCTCCCTCAGTCCCCGCATCCGGCCCTTACCTCAGCTCGCCCTCGCAGCCCACGTCGATGGGTCCTTCCGACTCGCCGTCCGAGCCGCTCGGCTCCCTGGGCCGCTTCATGGCGATCGCAGGCTGCCTGGGTCTCAGCCCCGCGTCCAGGGCTCTGAGTCGCCCAGTCGGGCCCCGCCCCGGCCCCGCCCCGGGGGCGCCGCCGCCGCCCTTTCCCAGGGCCCTTTCCTGCGCCGCAGCCCGGGGCGCCCCGGCGGCCCTCGCCCCCGCGGTGACGCGCCGCCAAGCCGTGGGAAGGCCCTGGGCGGTCTCTGCCCCCACCGACGGCTGGGAGGTCCGGCTCGCTGCGCTGTCTGGGCCGCCGCGCGCTGGGTGGCCTTGGGCAGGTGCCCTGGGAGGCCCCATGGGGAAGCCAGAGGTCCCCTTCTGTCCTGGTTCGCTGTGGGCGCCGCTGGCCCGTGAAGGCGCCGCTCCGATACCCCAGCTTCTGCAAGGTCCAGCCCGATCATCGTGTTCCCCAGTTCCCGCCTCCTGGGGTTCTGGGGAGGCAGGTACACCAGGCTTGTCCAGATTGGTGGGGGTGGCTATGGACTACTAATCCTCCACTAGAATGGTCCCTAGCAGCTCCTCCCACAGGGGCCCAAAGAGTGGTGGGGAGAGGGGGACACTCACACATGTGAGAGAGGGGGCGATCAGCCCCCAAAAGGAATGTCTTAAGTTGCGATGGGGGACCTGAGAAGGCTGGGCCCTGGCCAAGGTCCCTGAGGGCTGACTTGGCAGTGGTGGTGGGGTGTCCCTGGGAATCAGTTCCCAATTCACCAGAGGCGGAGCTATTCTGGGAGGCCAAGAGGCGGGGAAAGGGCTCTTTCCAGAAGCTATGGCCTGGCTTCAAAATGGGGGAGAGGAGGAGAAGGGAAGACAACTCCCCACTCCCAGCCTCTCTTTCTGGAGCTTCCCCCTTCTGACAACAGACCAAAGTGTTCACTCAGTGAGGGCTCTGGCTGCCCTGCCCATAGGAAGGGGAACTCATGGAAAATTCTCAGAGATCCACCTACCATCCTCATGGGCCAATGCCTCAGAGAAGCCCCCAAGGCTCAGAAGGAAGCACAAGGGGAGCAGCTTGAGGGTGGACTTCTCGGGCAGGGAAGAGGAGATGGTGAAGAAGATCTTGGTGTGGTAGGTCACACACCAGAGAAGTCTCTTCCCTTGGACCACAGGCCCAGAGGCAATCACGCATTCAAGGAGGAGAAAGGGGTTGGTCATCTGAGAACTTTCATCCCCAAAGCAAGACCTGCTTGGGGACACTTGATTACTTGGTGGGAAAGAACATTCCTGTGACCTCTTCTGTACACATCCACAGACACAACAACTTGGCCAAGTATACAAACACACACAGACTTATAGATACTCACCGATATGATACACACAACTGTCATGAGCTGTCAGTACCAGGAAGCCCTGGTGGCCACCCCACCCACACCTACAGACTCTCTTATTCCAGATGCCCTCAGCACTCACATAACTTCTGCGGGCACATGCCAGTGCAGTGGAAACCTCAATCAACATAGAAGTTGCACAATCCGTGCGCTATGCATTCCCTGGAAAGGCAGGCATCAAGGAAGCCTCCCAGAGGTCAGCCCTGTGGATTGTAGGATGGGTGGCAGCATCCCTGGCCCCTACCCACTAGATGCCAGTAGTGCCTGCCCCAGTCGTGGCATTGAAAATATCTCCAGGCCAGGGGCGGTGGCTCACACCTGTAATCCTAGCACTCTGGGAGGCTGAGGTGGGAGAACCGCTTGAGGCCAGGAGTTAGAGACCAATCTGAGCACCATGGTGAGACTCTATATCTACAAAATTTTTTTAAAAAATTAGCTGAGCATGGTGGCATGCACCTGTAGTCCCAGCTACTCAGGAAGCTGAGGCAGGAGTTTGAAGTTGCAGTGAGCTATGATGACACCACTGCACTCTAGGCACAGTGACTGAGCAAGGCACTGTCTCAAAAAAAAAAAAAAAAAAAAAACCCAAAAAACAAAAAAACTCCAGATAATACCAAATGTCCTTTGGGAGAGAAATCACCCTCTGTTGAGAACCACTGGTCTGGAGAAACACCAAGATTTAAAGGTTGAGTAGAAGAGAAAGTGCTGCCAGAAAAGCCTGAAAAGGAACAGCAAGGGGGGTGGAGGAGAGCCAAGAGGGGGTGTGGCAGGAGCCAAAAGAGTGTTTCAAGGACTTGGTCATGATCCTTTAAAATGCCAGTCAGATCATATCACTTCCTGCCCAAAACCATCCATAGGCTTCACATTCCGTTTGGAATAAAATACCAGCAGCCTACCATGGTTTATATATAGGTGACTATATAATTTATTATCTAAACCTGGGCACCTTTGAGAGTGAAAGGAGGCAGTACTAACAATTATGCCATGGCAGTCCAGGACACACTGTAAACTCTGGCCCCCACCACCTCTGCAGCTTCATCCCCGACCACTTTCTGCCTTACTCACTCAGCCACGCGAGAGCCTTCTTACTTCCTGCCTCGGGGCTTTGCGTTTGCTGTTCTTTTCCACCTAGACTCCTCTTCCCCCAGATTGCCTCAGATTCTCTCCCATTCTGGTCTTTGTTCAAATGTCATGTCCTCAGAGAGGACACTCCTGACCCCCCTCTCTGAAATAGCCACCAATCCCCCAGTCCCTCTGTGTCTCCACCTCCCTTTACCTTATTCCACAGCATCTGCTAATATCATTGACATTATACTGCTCTATGTTTATTGTCCGTGTTCCCCATGAGAAAAAGAAGGCAAATTCACTGAGGGCAGAGATTTGTCTCTTCTGTTCCCTGTGACTCCCCAGCGCCTAGACCAGTGCCTGGCATGTCACAGGTGTGCAATGCATACTTGCTGGCAGAAAAAATTCATGGGAGAAGCTTGACTGTGATGGGAAAGTAAACTAGGACAATAACTGGAGGAAAATGTGGAGTTCAGGGTTTGTTTGCTTTTGCTTGGTTTTAAGATGGCAGAGAGTCAGGCACAGATCAAGCGACAGGAAATGCTCACTCCATAGGACCTTTATGAAAAGGCTTCCACCTTGACTGTGAAGTTCTTGGAGGTAAGAATCATTTTTGTTGTTCATTATTTTGCCTTTTAGTGCCCGGCATATAGAAGGCATTCTAAAATATTGGTGAAATAAATAAATAATAATAATGAAAAGAAATTTTTTGTTGTACTTAACACGCTAGGTGTAGTCCTAAGTCTTTTGACATATATTAACTCATTTAAATCTCACAACAACTCTATAAGAGAAGTTACTATTATTATCCCATTTTACCGAGATACAGGGAAGTTAAGTAACTTACCCAAGATCACACAGCCAGTTAGTGGTAGAAATGGAATTCTAACCAGGCAGGCTGCACCAGAATCCATGCTGGTAACCACCGCATCATGCATTAGAGTGGCCAGGCAATAAGGACTGGAATAGAGTGGGTAGAAGAAGAGGGAACAGATCTGAGTGATACTGAGTTCCTGTCTGGGTGACTGAATGGGCGAAGGTGACAGGCACCAATGGGAAACACTGGAGAAGGTAAGGAGTTCAGTATGGCCATGCTGTTTGTGAGACCCAGGGGACATCAGCAGGAGAACCCAGAGAGAGGTCTAGGCTGGAGTAGAGATCTGGGGACTGGTAGCTGAAGACATGAGGCACATGAGATGTCTGTCGCAGGGAGCTAGTGCAGAGCAAGATGGGGGGAAAACCTAGGATCGGACCCAGGGAATCAACAGCCAAAGAAACTCTGGGAAGGAGGAAGAGACTTAGGCAAGAGTGGAGCACCGGGGGCCAAGGCAAGGAAGAGCCAAGGAAAGGGCTCATCACCAGTCCAGGCACTCCAAGGGGAAGTCACCAGATCACAGAGGCCTTGGCATGAACGGAGGAGGCAGAGGCAAGGGCAGGACTCCATGGACCAGGAAGTGTCTGGCGGTGGGAAGCAGAAACACGTTTGGAAAAGGAGCAGGCCCATGAGAGAGGGCACCCCAGGCAGCTCAGGGGCCAATTTGCTGGCTGATGAAGAAGTGGTCAGGAGTAGGAGAGGCATGCGCCCCGGGGGGACCCAGGGGTAGCAGGCAGCCTCAACCCAAAGGGAGGGAGGCAGAGAGAGGACCTCTCTTCTCTCCTCTCCCCCACCACCCCTACCTCCACCCCTGTCCCCCTGCCCTAGAGCTGAACGGGTAGGAGATTTTCAGGAACAGCTTTCAGCTCGGGAGAGACTCTCTCCATCCCTGCCCGCCGCACTGGGCCAGTCCCGGTCTTCTCTCAGGGCTGGTGTTCAGATTACCGAACTGACGGCCCGGGCTCCACACAGTTGGCGTGCCTGTGGACCATATGCTGGAACAGGATTCCAGAAACCTCGGCGGGGCCAGGCACTGGGCCTGTAGCTGCTGCATGGTGGAGCTATCTGGAGCCTCTCAGAGGACAGGATGATTGGCACAGAGAAGCTCAGGGCAGTAGTTAGCAGTTATTAATTGTGCAGTAATTTTTGTCTGTCTCCCGAACTGGACTGTAATCCCCGTAGAAGCAGGAACCATGTTGGGTTTGTTCATTGTCATCTCCCCTGTGCCTACCGGTGTCTGGCACAAGGTAGGTGTTTGGTTAATATCAGCTGAGTGTCTAGTGATGGGAAGGGGAGGTGGTGCCTGGCCCCTGGACAAACAGCAGAGTCACAACAGGGACTTTCCTGGCCCAGGGCCTGGGGAGAGGTATGGGGAGGAGGGGCCTGGAGCAGCCTTCCCCCTGCAGGACGTTGCCCTCCCTTTGTACTGGAAACATTGAGACTCAGAGAGGGGCAAAAACATCCCCAGGGCCACACAGTGACAGAAAGTGAGCCAGGGCAAGAGTGGCCTTTTTGTGCCTTGGTCTTCTCATCTGTAAAATGGGATGATGACAAAGCTACTCACCTCATAGGCTTATTGTGAGGATTAATGAGATAAGGTGCATAAAACAGTGCCTGGTGTTCAGAGTGAGTGCTCTAATGTTAGCATTTGGGCTCAGCTTCTGTCTCCATTCATTCTCTCCCTAGATGATTCATCTGCTTTACCTGATATAAGCCAGTGATCCCAAAATTTATGTCTCTAATGCAGACTCTTTTTTCCTGAGGGTCAGACCCATATATTCAACTGCCCA